TAAGGTGTGCCTGACACAAGCCATGATATTTCTAATTGCCTCGTATGCATGTGAGAGCTGGACAATGAATAAGGAAGACCAAAGAAGAGTTGATGCTTTTGAGTTGTGGTGCTGGCGAAGAATGCTGAAAGTACCATGGACTGCTAAAAGAACTAACAGATCTGTCCTGGAGGAAGTGCAGCCAGAATGCTCCTTGGAAGCAAGAATGGCCAGACTTCATCTCACCTATTTTGGTCATGTTGTAAGAAGGGACCATTCCCTGGAGAAGGATGTCATGCTTGGTAGGGTGGAGGGTCGACCAAAGAGGGGGAGGCCTTCAACGAGATGGATTGACACGATGGCTGTGATGATGGGCTCAAGCATAGCAGGGATTGTGGGGCTGGCGCGGGATCAAGCAGTGTTTCGTTCTGCTGTGCATGGGGTGGCTATGAGTCGGAAACGACTCGACGGCACTTAACAACAACAACAACAAATCCTTATGATTTTGTCTCTCTAGAACCACTCCCAATACCAAATGTGTTAGCCTGGGTTCTCTAGAAAAACAAAACCAGTAAAGCTTATATATATAGAGAGAGAGAGAGAGAGAGAAATTTATCTTAGGAAAATGGCTCACACACTTATAGAAACTGGCAAGTCCAAAGTTCTTGGATCAAACGTCAAGCTGGAGGCTTTTTCAGACTCTTACAGCTGCAGGGGCCGAGGAGCTCAAGGTTGTCAGGCAGTACACTGGCTGTTGACTCCAACAAATGACAAATCCAAGATCTCCAGGTCGAATGGTAGATTGTTCACTCATGGACAGTTGTAGACAGCACAACAGAATCCTGATCTCCAGAAAAATGCCGGTTTTCCCAGAATGTCCACAAATATACTGGAAACAGGCCGCACCCATACGGAAACTCCCTTTCAACAGATTGGCTGCTCAAAACATTCATCTGATCCCATCATGGGTATAACCACATCACAACTGCTTAAACCACACAGAATTGTGGTCCAGCCAAGTTGACACACAGTTCCAGCTATCACACTTGTCTACCATAAGTGACCCTGCTGGTGTTTGAAGTATCAGTGTCATAGCTTCCAGCATCACAGCAACATGGAAACCACTGCAATATGATAAACTGACAAACAAGTGGTAGAAAGGGATACTTCATGGTTTAAAATCACGAGAACCAGTGTTCTTCTTTCAGCATACTTATTCAAACTGTATGTTGAGCAAATAATCTGAGAAGCTGAACTATATGAAAAGAATGCCACATCAGGATTGGAGGAAGACTCATTAACAACCTGTGATATGCAGATTACAAACTTTGCTTGCTGAAAGCAAGAGGACTTGGGGCATATACATGAAGATGAAAGACTACAGTCTTCAGTGTAGATTACACCTTAACATAAAACAAAGTTCTCACCAATGGACCAATAAGCAACATTATGATAAACAGAAAATATTGAAGTTGTCAGTGATTTCATTTTACTGGGATCCACAATTAATGCCTATGGAAGCAGCAGTCAAGAAATCAAACAACATATTGCATTGGGAAAATCTGCTGCAAAAGTGTTCAAAAGGAAAAGTTGAAGACTAAGGTGCACTCACTCAAGCCTTGGCATTTTCAATTGCCTCATATGTATGTGAAAACTGAGCAATGAATAAGGAATACTTAAGAAGAGTTGATACCTTTGAATTAGGATGTTGGCAAAGAATACAGAATGTACCATGAACTGCTAGCAGACTTAACAAATCTGTTTTGGAAGAAGCACAGCCAGAATATTCCTTAGAAATGAGGATGGTGAAAGTAACTTATGCACTTTAGGCATGTTACAAAAGGGACAAGTCCCCGGAGAAGGACATCATGCTTGGGAAGATAGAGGGTCAGGGAAAAAAAAGACCTTTAATGAGATGGATTGACACAGTGGCTGCAACAGTGGGTTCAAACACAGAACCGATTGGGAGGATGGTGAAGGATCAGGCTGTGTTTCATTCCATTGTACACAGGGTCACTATGATCAGAACTGACTTGACACACCTAACAACAACAATAGCATGTACTTGTTAGAGTGAAATAAACTTAGTGACGGAATAAAAGAGCTTTTCAAGAATATGCATCTGAATATGTATATGAAATATCTGTGAAATGTAGTTTGCCTTTCAATTTTTTTTTCCAAATGAACACCAGTCGTACGAGACTTCCTAGTTGAAATAAGCTTTATTTAAAGATGCAATTGTTTTTTCTGATATGAAATAAATAAATAAAACATCCTATAACCCTGTAAGTTTCCCTTTTTTCCTTCAGATTTTAAAAGAAATGAAAACAGTTTTTTGGGCCCATAAATACCTGTGGGTCCTGGGAACTGTGCCTGTCATGTTTAAATGGGTAAATGGATACTGGTAAGAGGAATCCAGGGCAGTATGGCAAGGCTGCAGTTACAGTCACTGTCTAGTGTGGCAAGTCTGGGAATTTCCCAGAGGGCACGGAAGTTAGCTTATCTGGAACCATCCTAACAAGCACTGACCCAAGAAGACTCCTTGCCAGGGCAAGACAATACAAGATGAAGTTGTGTTTGAAGAACAGGGTGGAAGAACATAATGCCATTTTTGTTTGTACCTCATCAAGTTCAGCTCATTTAGTCTACCAGCTTCAGTTACAAAATGGGCCTTTTACAAAACTGTAACTGAGTCCCCAGTTAGAACTTTCTACTGCTTCTCTGGGATGTTTAAGCATTTCAATATTCTAAATTCTGACTTGATATTTATGTTACTAAATTAGACTTCTTTTTCATAAACTTTTAATAACATCATTTGAACAAAATAAGAATGAGTTTACCTTTACACTAGATAGTCAGAAATATTACTACTATAAACTGGATTTAAATTACTTAGAAGGAAAAAATTTAAAAATATTTTATAAGTGTCTTTTCACATAGAAATATTTCTATTCCTTTATTTATTAAAACTTTCTGCTTTGAAATGAATTTGGCTACTTTGTATTAGTTTTGAACAATAAAACTAATCTTTTCCCCTATGATCATTCTTCCTAACAAGAACTGAAAATTTTGTCCAAAATTGATATTTTATTGTAGAGCGTATTTTTTAAATTGTAGATGTTATCTCATTTAGAGTTTGTAAACTGCTAGCTCTTGAGCTAAATACAACCTGTAAAATGGTAGGGCTTGGGGACCACTTGTTTGTTTGTTTGACCCTGTATTTGCTTGTTTGGTGAGTTTCTTTTCCTTCTTGATAAATAATGACTGGCTCTGGACCTTGGGTCCTTTTTGCTGGGCATGTACTCTGAGTTTACCACAACCTTCTCTGCTTTCTATTGTTTTATACCTAATCCACTTCACCTACTTAGTTTACCTACTTGGCTTCTTAGACATTTGAGTTTGTGACCCTTAACTGATGAGCACTCTGACTTCTGATATCATAGTTCATTGATATAGTCTTTATAGCAGTTTTAGGTAGATAGTCAACACTCTATAAATGTTTGTTGACTGACTAAGGCTTTATTAAGTATGCCCTAAAAACTCTTCTTTCACAGGTCTTGCTGCCACTGGGGAATTTTCCTCCCTTGATTATTTCCCTTTCAGGGCATACTTTTAGCCCATAGTCCCCTCTTCCCAATTCTTTTACCACCACCAGACTTTCATTGGTCTGGAAAATAAATACCTTATCAATCTTAGATAAGGCAGAAAACAACTTTTCAAACATATTACTGCCCTTATGAATATATGCAAATTCTATAGCCAACAGCCTACAAAAAAATTTATAAATCCAATCTCTTTCTCCAACAATACACTAGCCTGTTCTGATTTTACTTCTTCCTCAACACCTAGTGGTGCCTTACTGCCCAGAAAGTACAACCAGTCATTAGAGCCCTTGTTCATGCACCCTCAGTTCCAAATCCTGGGCCATTTCAAATGGTTGTACAGGTTGTACATTCCACACCTTTGGGATGCCATTCACATAGACTATGTGGTGGCCCTGCTTGACCTCTCCCCTGCCACAACTTTGTAAGAGGCATAAAGTCAAAGATCTTAAAAGTGAAAGAAACTAGCGAGGTTATATCTAATCCTTGATTTTATAATGGGGAAGCTATAGCTCAGAAATATTAAGTGATTTATCTTAAGTTTTATATTTAGCAATAGAACAAAACCAGAATCTATGCCGCAGATCCAGATGAACTCAGATCCAAGGTGTATTCTAAGTCATGCACCAGTTTACACTTTAATTCCCTGTCATATTCCACCCGCTTGATGGCAGGGCCTCTACAGGGCTCTTCTCATCCCCAGTGCTTCCTCTTTCTGGTCTCCCCATAAAAAGAACCAACAAGAGTTCTCAGTTTCCTCACTTACTAAATGAGGATAATAATAATACCTAGCTTAGAGACCAGCAATAAATGAAACCTGTTACTGCCTCTGACCAGATCATATAATGCAATGAAATAGGGTTATTGTAAAAGAGGGACCAACAAGGAGGAGAAACGATTGCTGTAGTTTTGGTGAGAGAGGATGGAAATTTGAACTAATATTGTTGTGGGAATGGGAAACCATGATCAGATTTTAGATACATTTTGGAGGTCAAAGCAATGGGACTTGACAGAAAGTTGGATGTGGACAGGAGAGAGGAGGGTGTCCAAATGTGTTCTGGGTATTGTGTCCTACTAGATGGACTCATTTAGCCACCTAATTTTTTTTCTGTAGTAAGACAAAATAGATCTCTTCCCAACCTCACCTCCAGGACAGCCACAACCCCAGGATGGGACACTGGACTTAAAAAAATAGAAAAGAAAAAAGAAACAGAAACAATAACAAGTGCTATGTTAATATAACCATATTATAGATGAAATACTTCTGTGGGTCAATGAAGACTTGATCATTACTAATGATATTTTCTTTCAGCAAATGGATTTAAATAACAGCTTAGAAGAGAGTATATTATTTGTAATTTGGAATTAGCTTTATAAAGAAAAAAGATACAAGTTTTGCATTTAATTTATATTTTCTAGGCCTGTCAGAGAATTTTCCATGCCAAGAGGAGCAAACACTTTTTGTTACTGTATAAAAGCAAATGTGATTGTTACTGGAGGTAAGATTACAGTTCATATTATAGAGATTTTCTGCTTTGCAAAGTGCTCTCCTTGATTAACATATTGATTTTAATAAAATTATGGAATTTACTGCTGAGAAATATCTTTTACCAGTTGCTTTCAGGTTGACTCCACTTATGGTGACTTGTGTATATTACAGTAGAACTGCTCTGCAGGGTTTTCAATGTCAGATTTTTTGAAAGTACATCACCAGGCTGTTCTTTCGAGGCACTTCTGGGTGGATCTAACCTCCAACTTTTCAGTTAACTGCTGAGCATGTTGACTAATTGCACAACCTAGGGACTCTGGGGCAAACCTTAGGGAATTTTAAAATCTGTATTGAGTAAAATATGATAGTCTTTTTCATTGTGGCTTCTGGATTTGTTGGCACTAGAGTCCTAGATTCCCCTACAGTTATAGGACTTGTGTGTGTGTGTATGTGTGTGTGTGTTTGTGCGCACATGCGCGCGCACACATGGGTACGTTTTTCTGGAAAGAAAGCCCAAAATGTTATCAAATCTCCAAAGGTGATCCATGACCAAAAAGGTCAAGAGCCAATACAATTTAGAGTTAAAAGAGAAAAAGGCCAATGACAGAAACTTAAAAAAAAAAAAAAAAAACACAAACCATTGAAGGGTTAAGTAAGGTAGAAGACAGGAAAAAAGTCATCTGCTGAGATGATGATTTAAGAAGTCTGAGGGGGAAAATAGAAGGCAGAAATATTGTTTGAGCCTGAGATGCCTTTCTGTGATATTGGGGCTCTAATCTGATAAATGAAAGTTGGCCGTTTGAGCTCATTCTCTCACTCCTTGAGAGAAAGACCTGGTGATCTGCTCCCTGGAAAACCTTATAGGGAAGTTCTCCTCTGTCACATAGGGTGGCTGTGAGTCAAAACTGACTCAACGGCACATAACAACAATACAATATAGAGAAATTACTTTAACTCTCTAGAGTCAGACTGTCTAGGTACCAATACTGGCTGTCTCATTTCTAAGCTGTATGGCCTTGTGCAGGTTTTTTAACCTCTCTAAGCTTTTGCATCATCTGTAGGGTGGAGATGACAGTAGTACATATTCATAAGGACACTAAAAGAATTAAAGTAATTCAAATACCATGGTGCCTTGCACATAGTAAATGCTCAAAACAAGCTTGCTAATATTAATACTGAAAATAACAAAAGCAACACCTCTTTCATAGGGATTTTTAAGATTCATTGAGATGATGTATGCATGACATGTAGTAGATTCTCAATAAATCTTAATTATATCACAATACATAAGAATAATCACTTTGGAAATGTCTGGCATTTTTATTGGGATGAAATGAAATCTGAGATTCCAGTCAGGAAAAATTCTTCATAAGTCCTAGTGATCAATTCGTACTGAGTATTAATAAGAGAGATTGGTCAGCTCCAAGTTTGTAAGGTGGGAAAATTGGAATAATGGTAATTATGTTTTGAGTCACATGGAAATTGGGAAAAGCATGCTTACATAAGGAAGGAAACCAAACCAAAACTCATTTCCAAGTTTAAAGTCAGGTATAGATCACACATGTTAGAAGGGATTTCTTCTGACAAAGGAAAAAGGTCTGGTTGGAGATGTGGGTTGTTAGCGCTCCCTAGGCTGCCTGCCTGGGAGAAGACAAACTCCCAGAGGCTTCTCAAGATCAGGGTTGCCTTAAAGGAAATTAGGGTTATGTAAACTTGAAAGATGTAAGTGAGCAAAACAAACAACAAACACCCAGGAAATAGCCAAAATTAGAAGTCTGACATGTAAAAAAAAGAAAATAGATTTTAAAAGAGGAAGAAAACTTTATTATAAAAAAAAATTCCATCATCAAGTTGTGCAGAGGTGGGGACTTGGCTCCATGTCTAACCCACTGTCTAGCTGCAAAGGCATTTTGAAGACCGCCTTCATCTACGAAAGCCTGGCCTGTGGAATTCATTAAATTGCTAAAGGTGCAGACAAGTGAAAACCCATCTTTGTGAGCTTGCATCTGATTGTGATGGGACTATGTATGTCAGGTTGGTAGTGGCCTTTGTATTGAATATGAAATCAACCTAATTAAGGTTGATGACAACAGGAAACTAGAAATATCAATTTAAAGAGATTGTTGTTGTTAGGTGCCAAGTTGATTCTGACCCATAGTGACCACAGATGACAGAGTAGAACTACCCCATAGGGTTTTCTAGGCTGTAATCTTTATAGGAACATATTGCCAGGTCTTTCTCTCAGTGAGTGGCTGGGTGGGTTTGAACTGCCATCCTTTCAGTTAGCAGCTAAGTGTGTAACCATTGAACCACCAGGGCTCCTAGGGAAACTCAGTAAAGTGGTTAGTTGCAGTTGTATGCTTGTTAAAGATTATGGCAAAGAATCTCGGGCCAAGGATGTTATCAAAGAATATTTCAAATGAAAGACATGAATAAAAAACTTAGCTTTCAAAAAGAAAAAAAAAAAAAATTCAATAAATGTCTAATTGAATGTGCCAAGAGAGTCCAAAATGTTAAACATGTAAGACCCCTTCCATAAAAAATTCCTTCAAATTCCTTCCTCCAGATATACAACAGGCAATGCTTGTTTTCCTACCAAAGGAATCCTGCCTCAAACCTGAATTGCCTCTACTGACAACTTACTCCTACTTCATGGCTGAGACATCTTCCTTCTAAGGGCATGAAGTTGAACTTGATACAAAATAATTTTCAAGTACACCGTGCAGCTCAGTTCTGTGCACAGCTTTAGGTCTTCCATAAAACTTACTTCAAATTAGCTATGGTTCAAAAATTATTTTTAAAAAATTATATAATAGTCTACTGGAAACCAAACAATACAATAGAAATTAGAAGAGCTGTTTTTTTTTCATAGCCTGACCACTAATCAAATATATGATTTTCAGCACTCACTTCTCTGTTGCTCATAAACCTTGTCTGGTCAAAGAATGGAGTTGTGCTACATAAATTCCAAGGTATTCCATTTGAATCTGAAACACTATGAATGTACTGTTTAAAGAACTTTATTTTCATAGGGAGATAAATGAAAATGTTGTTCGGAAGATTTGGAATCCACTTTGCTGGTTTGATTTTACTTAAAATATATCCACAGCTTTGTGCACTCAGAAAAACAAAACATTAGTCACAAACTTCTAAAATTCAATTAAGAACATCAAGAAGGGAAAGGAAGGCTTATAAATAAATATGCCAGTTAGCAGCTAAGTGTGTAACCAAAACAGGGCATGAAAGTCATGGTTTAGACTGGAAGAAATTTTCCTGAGGCTTGATCATGAGGCTTCTCAGAATAAACAGAAATCCAAGTCTCCAAACTGTACTGTTTCAGGCTTATCATGTAAAGAGCTCTATACTAAGATTTAGAACACATAAAGGAACAAATACTAGAATTAGATATGTTTTAATGTTACATATGCAATTATTATATGATCCAGGAATCTCAATACTAGGTATATGCCCAAAGGAATTGAAAGCAGGAACACAAACAGATAATTAAACAATGTTTAGTGGAGCACTATTCATAATAGCTAAAAGGTGGAAACAACTCAAGAGTCCATCAACAAATGAATGGATAAGCAAAATGTGGTACATACATATAATGAAATACCACTCGGCCTTTGAGAGAAATGAAGTCCTAATACACACTCCAACGTGGCTGAACCTTGAAATATTGGGCTAAGTGAAATAAGTCAGTAACAAAACAATAAATAGTATGTGTCTCTGATGTTGTTGTTAGGTGCAATCGAGTCATCTCCAACTCATAGTGACCTTATGTACAACAGAACAAAACACTGCCCAATCCTGTGCCAGCCTCATGATCCTTGCTATACCTGAGCCCATCATTGCAGTCACTGCGTCAATCCATCTTGTTGAGGGCCTTCTCCTTTTTCATTGACCCTCCACTTTACTAAGGATGATACCTTCTCTAGGGAATTGTTCCTTCTGACAACATGACCAAAGTAGTGAGACGAAGTTTGGCCATTCTCACTTCCAAGGAGCATTCCATCTGTACTTCTCCAGGACAGATTTGTTAGTTCTTTTAGCAGTCCATAGTACTTTCAGGATTCTTTGCCAACACCACAACTCAAAGCATCAGCTCTTCTTCAGTCTTCCTTATTCATTGTCCAGCTCTCACATGTGTAAGAGGTGATTAAAAATACCATGGGTTTGGCACACCTTAGTCTTCAAGGAGACATCTTCAGCATTTGAAAGAGGTCTTTTGCAGCAGATTTGCCCAATGCAATATGTCATCTGATGTCTTGACTGCTGTTTCCATTGGTGTTGATTGTAGAACCAAATAATATGAAGTCTTTGACAACTTCAATCTTTTCTCCATTTATCATGATGCTGTTTATTTGTTCAATTGTGAGGACTTTTGTTTTCTTTATAGTGAGGTGTAATCCACACTGCAGACTGTAGTCTTCAATCTTCATCAGTAAATGCTTCAAGTCATCCTCACTTTCAGCAAGCAAAGATATATTGTCTGCATATTGCAGGTGGTTAATGAGTCTTCCTCCAATCCTGATGCCACATTCTTCCTCATATAATACAGCTTCTTGGATTATTTGCTCAGCATACAAGGTGAAAAAGTATGGTGAAAGGGTACAAACAACCCTGACTCACTCCCTTCCTGATTTTAAAACATGCAATATCCCCTTGTTCTGTTGGAAAGACAGCCTCCTGGTCTGTATACAGGTTCCTAATGAGTACAATGGAGTGTTCTGGAATTCTCATTCTTTTCAATGTTATCCATAATTTGTAATGATCCACACAATTGAATGCTTTTGCATAGTCAATAAAACACAAGTAAACATATTTCTGGTATTCTTTGCTTTCAGCCAAGAACCATCTGTCATCAGCAATGATACCCCTCATTCCACATCCTCTTCTGAATTCAGCTTGGAAGTTCTCTGTCATTTTTTAATTATCTTCAGTAAGATATTACTTGCATTTGATATTAATGGTATTGTTTGATAATTTCCATATTCTGTGGGATCA